ATAACCCAATTAGGTACTGAAAATATTCGTAACAGCTTTTAATAATAGGTGTTATACCTATTACTGAATATAAAGCCAATATTAGGGCAGCTGATCTTATATTCCTTTACCTATAATTGATGTGAAATAATGTTATAAGTATTAAGATACATTATCTCCACGTCAAACAATTTTAAAACTTCACAATCTCCTTCAAAATTTCGGTTTATATCGCCATCATAGCCCGTCTTCTAGTTAGTCAACTGCCAATCAGCTGGTTCTGACCAGTAGACATGTGAAATTAAATTAGTTTATCCTAATATATCAATGAACGAACAAATAAATAAGTTTACAAATATTGTATTCGTAATACGTATCTGTATCTATTACAGATATTTCGTCACACTTCTATGCCACGTATTAATTTTTATCCTATGCTTGATGCTTGATGTTGTGAATATAAATATCATCATCATCATCAGCCTATAAGTGCTCACTGCTGAGCAAAGGCCTCTTTTAATACTGAGAAGGTTTGAGCATTAATCACTACGCTTGCTCAATGCGGGTTGGCGATTACAAACTTACAATTGAATGAATACTGAGAATGAATATAAATATGTTCTAGTAAAAATAGAAAAGATTATGTTTATTTGGAAATAGTAATGCGATTGTTGTTTTGCCTTTTTAGGAATAACAACCTGGTTGTACCGACAAAAATAAAAATACTGACACTGGATGTTTGATTTTATTAAATATGCCTTATTCAAGCAATCACATTTCTAAAGTAACAAATTCTGCGATATGCGACACGACTTGCCAATACGATAGATACTCTGCGACACCCATTTGTGATAGATTACTGACTCGTTCCATGAATATCAGCTGCATCGGCTTGATCTTTTGTCGTGTAAAGGCAGGGCTCTAAAGCTATGCAGGCATGGATTTCTGCTGGGGGACCGTCACCCTTAGTCCTATGCTGTACCTATATCATGAGATAGCAGATCAATAAATTCCATATTATGTTTCTTTGAAAATTTATATTTTCTTTATAAACTCTGCAACTTCAAATGAAAATATCATCGTTAGGATCATTGCGAAATTAATTTTCTTTCTTTTTCGTTGATTGTTCGGATTTCACACAGTTAAAATACGAAAATGATCGCTTATTCACACGTTATACTAGGTCCACGGGCTGAATAAGTCTTGTCTAACGTTTCATACAATTTGGACAATGGTTATAACAGCTGTATACGCGGGAAATGTCAAAAATTGATTATTAGTAATGAGTCTGCTATACCTCTGTTATAAGATGTGTGTAATTTTTTATTAGTAAGGGGGATAGATTATAACGAGCTGTAATATCGATAAGAAAAATCAAACTAACAAATGCCTTTAAAAAGATCGCTAAACCAGCTAACAATATCTATTCGTATCACTAATCAGTCTCAAGTTACTCCCTTGTTTACCCCACAACGTTGGAACACAATACGTCGCTCAATCAGAGGCTAATGATGTATTGTACGATATACCAACATGCTAATGATCTGACTTTAGCTTTTGTGTCTCTGCCTTTGTTAGGAGTATTTAGTACTTCTAACTTAGCATTAATAAGTCACTATTTTGCTCTGAATAAACTCAATCCCCCTCCAAATCGTTGTAACTCCTCTGCGGTACCCTTAGAAGGCGCTGATAGCTTACCATCAGATCATTCTTCTACCTATCTCCACTTACCGCGTTTCTATGGAATAGGTTTCCTTAAAAAATGTTTTCGCTGTTGATGTCATTATGAAAGAATTTGAATGTGTATTTTCACAGATTGTTTCCTTTAATATGGTGTTTTAAGTGAAAGAGAGCCATGTTTCGGCACAAATGGGTCGTCTCACAGCGTTGTTTCACCGAGTGAGTGAGGTCACCGAAGGCCCAATCCGTCCGGTAATCCTTCAGCTTACCTGGTAATCTTTCAGCTCGTTTGCCGTCCTATCATAATTATTACGTAAAGATTGTATTCTAAATGCATTACCTAACAGTTTATAGTTTACTCTCGTCCCTCATTTCCATACGCAAAACGACAACTAAATGAAAACTCATTCTGTTCCTATATCAATTCCCAAATGTTTAGCTCGTCAATACAAACCGCATCCATTGATACACTCCGGATCAATATCTGTGGGCTTCACAAATATTTGTTCGAGCGACGTCAGGAGAATGAGTATGTATGTCGAGTATTCCCTCACGGGCCAATCAGATGGCGGATTGCAAGCTCATGATTGAAAAAATTCCATATTGCAATGTAACTAGATTGATATCACGGATATTTTGCTACATAAATTGCCTCGGGGATATTTTTAAATGTGTGATTGAGTTTGCAGTTTATTGGCAGCGTTTATTACGTTTTGATTTTCATTTATGGTTCTATGAAATGTAGTAATAATGTTACTGTAAGGTTTACGGTTTGAGTTGGAAGTTTTTGTTACAGAAATATTTGTTTTATCTCAGATTAGGGATTTAGTCAACGACATTTTAGCACCAAAAAGCTTTTCAGTGGAAATAGATTATCATTTTTCCACTCGTGATTTCACAGAATTCTTACAAAATAATCTTTTAATCCACCGAAAACGGAGGACGAAAAGCAAAGGTCGGCAACATAATTAGCATAATGTTGTACAAACAGCTCGTTCATTAGCCCGTAATTGTTTAATACAGTTAATTCCCTGTTTACGACGGAAGTGCGAAAGATAATATTTCATCCTCTGATAATTCCGTAAAGAGGAACAAGATTGATGATAATAACTTCATTTTATTAGCGTGCCGGAAATGTTGACCGAGCGATTTCAGTGCGACTACGTTGTGCGCGTATTATCGGCCGACTCGAGTGAAAACATACGGTGCGGCGGCTGGTTCAGGCACGCATTCTCCATTATCTTGGTCTTGCATTCTATTGTCTAACGCTCGAGTGATTTTCGATGTAATTGTAAAAATCACGAATGATACATCACCGTGCTCATTCCAAAAACTAATTGGTAAAAAAGCTAGGAAGAAGAATTTCTCAAACAAAGATGTAATTTGGTCTAGTAATTATTTTATGCAAATAGATTTTGTTTGATTAGATACCTCTGCTCGGTGCTCTGATTTTTGTTTTTCGCTTTGTAATCTCTTTTCTGTCTGTTTACTATTATTAGAGGTTTTAGTGGAAATTGGGTCACTGTCATTATTGCATTTTTTAAGCTCTTTCCCTCCTTCTCTTTCTCTTTTTGTACTGAGTTTCGCTCTAGAAGCGTACTTACTAGAAGTTTAGTGTATTGTTTGGCTTGTTCTGACGTATCCGTAAGCTTGAGTTTCGATACTAAAAAAAGTTCTTACTTTATTGTTTCGAAGTAACAATGCATGACTTACAACGTTCAATAAAGTGATAACAGCCCGTAATCACACACATACGAAAGGCTTTCCTGTTTTATATTGCGCATAATATTTCTAACTGCATTCTACACATTCGCTAATTATACACCCTATCTATTCCTACATATCGGTCGATTTGTATACATATACAATAACTATGTAATTTAGCGCTACCGCCGCCACAGTTCAACCGACGCGCGACGTTTTTTTTTTTTTTGCTTTCTCCGTTCCGCTGCGTATGTACGGATACTTTTTGCTCTGTTTTTCACTTTCTATGTTTTGTTTATTGTTTGTACGTTATTTTATTCGTGTAGTATATCTTCTTTAATATGTTTATCGTTACTTTATGTTTGTGTTGGATTAATTTTTCTAAGTCCAAGTTAAATGCTTTTTTTATACTTCATCGAATCATGCTATTCACTATCGTTATTGCTTAAGACCCACTTATCGCGCTACTCAGAGTTCTGAAAATTATAACAATATTGAACGTTTTACCATCTGTTATCAAAGTTATTTTTTTGTAAGCTTTATGCTTCTGGTCTTAAAATAAGAAGGTAGAAGGAAACGATGGCTTTGAAGCAGATGTTTCTGTTCCTACAAACTTTTGTGTACCTCATACTTGTTATACAATTAAGTATTACACTTATTCATTCTATTTGATATACTTAATTATTTTCATTGAGAGCCTGCTACCGTCTCAGATGCGCTATTACCGTATTATATGGATCACCTTTTTACTTATATCATTTAAGACAATCAGATCATCAAAACATTCTGTAGGTGCATTATTTTGATGTGTATTGTTATTGAGTAAAACCCTATTTAGTAAGCAGCCGATTTTGCTATTATTGGTTGGTGTTGGTTTTCGAAATGGTAGAGAAATCCCCTCTCCTCTCTGTCCGATTCTTTAACATATGCCTTTTCTTGCATGATTTTTTGTTAATTGAAGTTTGTGTGTCAGATAAAACCAACCTCAATCTGATTTAATGCCTTAAATCAGATTGTCATTTCCAGAAATCATAAAAAAACAAAAACTCTTCAACATTATTAATATTACAGATTTTAAAGAAAGCTTTAACTTTATAAGTACTGTGTAAAAACTTGGCGCCGTTCCGATCTCCATGACAAATGATTAATTTAGCATCGCTTAGCCGGCCCCCAACAATTAATCCTGCAAGCTCGCACTCCAAGCCACTTTTTTTTCGCCCGCAAAACTTGAGATTTTGTTCATACGGTCTAAGTACTTTTTAAAGAACGAGGGTACGGTTTACTTCGCGATATATGTATGACCAACTTTCTTTCCTGTTTGCGAAAATTTTATTTCTCATGAATTTGATGTTTTTAACGTGAGAATTTCTCCTATATGTAATGGCAGGACTAAGGACTGCCTTTTCCTTCATTGAATTTCGTACTATGTCAGCAATGCGTGTTCCCCAAATGTTCATATTTTTCTCGGTCTTGCGCTTCATTCTCAATTTGTCCTTTTGTTATGATGGGCGCCATCTTGCGTTCTGTGAATTGTATTACCAAAGATTTGTCCCCGTTTAGGGTGTGCAGACAGATGTGGACGGTTTTAGGATGAAGTTTGGATGGAAATGGCACAATAATGACCAATTACATGAAACATGTCAATCCGCCTTGAGTATGTGGTGATGAATGCTCAAACCTTCTCCATGTGAGTAGAGGCCTTGCTTAGCAGTGGGTACTTATAGGCTGATGATGATGATATACGAAAAATCTGATTAAAGCTGATAATGCTTCTGAAACATGTGCTTTGCAACATTATTACCTCATCGGGGTTTGATAACCATGCTGTGCTCAAGTAATTGAAAGGCTCATCCAATAATCTTTTCTGATAATACGCGATTCTGCAGCTCTGTTATGTCATTTATTACAAGCCCGTCTGCATTGAATCCGATACAATACCATAATCAGCCTGATTTCGTCCACTGCTGGACACAGGCCTCTAAATTGACTACAGATTTTCTTAACTGAGGAAATGGGTTTGCCGATCTGTCAGTTCAAGTGATACATATACGCACATTGGTCCCCTTCATTAAACTGTTACTGTCTTGTTCAACCAACACTCGCTGTCCCACATAGTAAATAATCAATCACAAACATTTTACATAACGCACGCGATTCCACGGTACGTACCTATGCGCCGACGCAGACCGATGCCTCGAGATCGTGCGATCTTCACGCTAGTTAATGATATGGGTGGAAAATTAGATCTTGTAAGTATGTTTGCCACTGTTCTTATTCGATCAGAAGTTTCACTGGCTTATAGGATTTTCACAGCTATGATAATTGTCTGCTCATAATGATCTTTCAATAAGATTATGTAAGACTAGTTTCTGCCATTGTCATTACCGTCGCTAGTCGGAAGTCTAGACTTAGTCCTTACTAGCTTGCTCTTTAGCTCTTTAAATCTGACTGTATCATTCGTGCTTAATTTTGGCTTAGCATGAATGATACCGAATGAGGCCACACAGAAAAACGTCAGTGAAACGACCGCAACTTTGTGTTTTGCCGTGTGAGTCAGGTTACCGGAGGCCCAATCCTTCACCTTCCCCATCCCTCCCCAATTCCCTAAATCTGTGAAACCCTAATCCCCAAAACGCTGGCAACACACTCGTAACTCCTGTGATGTCCAAGGGTGGTGCCGATTGACTCATAAGGAAAATCACACCAATTTTACCTTCTGCCTCTTTACTTCCATCGTAAGAAATTTCCACGCTACGCTTACACGTTAAGCAATAAATAAATAGGCTAATTTATATTATAATACAGTTATGTAGCTCCAGTGCATTTTGTGACGCAATTCCCTCACTTTCAGGAAGCAAGCTGAGCAATGAAATTAATTGTTAACTTACGAGCCGTATTGATTTGCTCTGAAAACTATTACAAGTAAATGCAAGCAGTTTCAATCGTAAGTTTTTAGTACTCCATTTAAGTATGATATCTTCTTAATCTAGATCACTTGTGCTCGTCGTGTGGTAATTTTCATTTGAAATACAACGGATTTGATAGTCCTAGTTCCTAGAAGATCATAGTTTCTACAGGTGACGCTTTCGTACCAGTCGTAAAAATTCCCTGGAACATATTGAGAAAAGACCTATGAAATGTCTTTCAGAAAATAAAGGTTTGCGAGTTTGTATTTCAGTGTAGCTAGCACCTCTATACCATAATATTTCTCCGTGCCAATTCTTATTTACATTCTTTCAGTTGATGATTGGCAGACAAAAACTTTTCTTTGGGAAACTTTCTGCCTCTCAAAATAAAACTGTGGAGTGATCGATCGATGGTAGTGTTTCCGAACCGGGACGATTTCCAATCCTAATTATAGAACGTACTCCTCCGTAACAACTACAAACTTGTGACTCCTCTGGTGTTGCGGATGTCCATGGTCGGCGCAGATCCCTCGCATCAGGTGATCCATTTGCTCGTATGCGTCCTATTCCATAAAAGAGAAAATAGTATTTAGAGTTTGCTGCATAATAAAATCCAGTTAGTAGTAAATACTATTCATTTACTATGTTTTTACCGCGTAAATACTAGTGATGTAACTAAGGCGTTTAGTCGAGATGGACATGCATAATATAATCGATACTGTGTCACCGCACTATTGCGCAACTAAGTATGGTTTATGATCGAAAGTGGTGCGGTATTGACGTTGTTTGCGGATGTATCGATACTTGTGTGTCACGACACTATTCAGTCAGTCTTTAATTATATTCAATGTATTAAAGAAACATTTACCATGACAACTCCCTTGGTCGTCGTAGATATAGAAACTTAATCATTTAAAAATCAGTTTTTTTTAAATGCCATGGTTTGGCGTTAAATGACTCGACCGGATTGGATACCACGGCCTCACAAAATACTAACGAGAATTTTGTTTGTTTTGTGTTTCGCCGTGTGAGTAAGGTTACCGTGGGCCTAATTCTTCCTCATCATCCTCAATCCCCAAATTCCCGATTACGAGTGTCCATGGGCAGTGCCGATGGCTTACCATCAGGTGATTCGTCGACTTGCCAATCTACCCCATAAAAAAGCCCACAAGATATTGCCAAAAAACTGTCACTGTGTGTTCTTTTCGGTCCATGTTGAACTAAGAATTTCGGATTAAGCTCTTAACAAAATAAGGTTTTTAAATTAAGTGAAGCCTTTGGTTTAGTGCCAAAATGTACAGTGCAAAATTAGTTGAAGGAAGATCACGTCTTCCTCTCCTTATTAAGGCTTCGTCCGTTCGGATTGCTGATTTCATGGTGCAATTTACAGTGCATTTTGTTGGTTGTTTCTCCTTTAACATTTCTTTATTTCGTTTATGAATTTACTAATAATTTAAATGCAGAAGTTTTTAAGCTCTGAGGGATGGATGTTTGCTGCTGTTTACCGTAAAATTAAAGAATATAAGTGTGGGAGAGCCAAGCTTCGGCACGAATGGGTCGGCTCGACCGGAGTGATACCACGGCCTCACAGAAAACCGCCGTGAAATAACCAAAGAGTGTTACGCCGTGTGAGTGAGGTTACCGGAGGCCCAATCCTTCCCCTCCCCCAATCCCTCCTCAATCCCTAAATCTCCAAATCCCTAATCCCTAAAAGGTCGGCAACGCACTCGTAACTTCTCCGTTGCGAGTGTCCATGGGCGGCGCTGATTGCTTACCATCAGGTAATCCGTCTGCTAGTTTGTCGACCTATAACATAAAAAAAAAAATTGAATTTAATTTGGCACTGGTCACACGAAGCTTTCAGTTAGGTATGTAGCAGAAACCGAGTTTCTAAGGGCTTAGTTTACCTGGTATTTAATGGCTTAACTGACATTTCTCTACATAACTGGTGGCTGTTTTTAGCAATGGACACTGCATAATTTTTGACTGATGATGATAACGACGAACTTAACTGGCTTTTAATACTAAACGCATTTTTTGCTCGGGAAATCGTAAGTAAGGCAAGAGGGAGTGTCAGCCACTTTCTGATTAAAAACCACCTCGTTCCTTCTCCTGCTCCAGACCAGAGCCTTGTTAGATTGCGCTTGGTCGCAACACCAGCTGAACATCAGCCCTATTGGGCCCCATTTTTAGTGGTCTGTTGGCTATATAAGGCGGCGGCGGTAAGCTACGCGCCGTACGCTCGGATCAGATTCTGGTCGATCGGCGAGCTACCCTTGGTTCGCTTCCTGCAGATCCGCGCTGACGCCCAACGTGTCTTCTCCTTTGGTGGCTGGGCTATACTTAACGCATCCATAAACAATAGCATTGTAATACGATGAAGCTGTACAAATTTGAGTACATACCAACATTATTGACCAGCTTTCGATATTTTTTGCACAGGTCCGTTATATTCGCATAAACACACATAACATTACAAGCAGGTGCTTTCGCTTATGAGGCAATAGCGTGCAACATCCGCGCTCGAAAGTTACATGATGATGCATTTTTATAATAACCTCCTTCGTTATTTATTGTATTATGGTCGGCTGAGACTTTGCGCCCGATTGCTTAGGTAAATTATTGACGATGACTGTTTTTATGGATTGTTGTTATTTAAATATGTTATTGTTTGACGCACTACGCACTACGTATTTACTTAATCATTACTATTAAGGAATAGTTTATATTCCTTATTGCCGTTTCTCAAAAACGATTGCTAAGGAATGGGTGCAAGCTGTATAACTTGGATTTTATGAAAGGTAGAAAGCCTTTTGGCTAGGAAAGAATAAACAATTTGTCTCGTCAAATACAGAAAAACTTTTCAAATTCGACTGACCGTTCAAACAAAAATTTAAAGGGTCTAATTAGATCAACTTAATTCTTACACGCTTCGATTTTATTCAACAACTATGCTGTTATACTTAATACCCTAGTCGCAGGCACAGTTGGTATGTTGGGCAACCGGCTGCCGTGCAACATATCGCGGTTTCGATTCCCACACAGAACAACTCTTTGTGGTGAACAACCCGATAATTGTTGTTCCAGTTTTAGGTGTGTTGTGTATGTGATATTGTTAGTTTGTCCATGATACAAGAGACAATCCTGGTGTAAGGCAACGTAAAAAAAGTATAGAAAGAGATCATAGCTTAGAACACGATGAAGCACAACAAAACTTTAGAATGATCATTTGACGGCTATATTTCCGAACTGATATGACCTTCAAGAAACGAGTGTACTCCTTTTTAAAAGGTCGTCTATGACTCCTCTTGTGTAGCAGTTGTCCATGGCTGGCGCTGATCACTTACTATCAGGTGAATCGTCTGCTCGTTTGCCTCCTATTCCATAAAAAGCCACAAAATATATCTCAGCAGCTATCGTGTATACGCGTAACCAGAAAAACATTCGTGCGGCACAACAAAGATTAACGACCCATCTCGCGGGAGAGAATTGGAAATACACGTACACACAATTTTTACACACGAAACGTATATATAGCTTTGTCTATTTACTTACAAAGGCACATCACTATTGAATTACGGGTCCGGAATTGTTGGTCAAATATACCCTGAGATCTCTGTTTCGTGTTTATCTTAAACACTTCATTTGATCGAGTCTTTCTTATGTTCATGATGGTTTAGTTTTACTTAAGTATGTGTGATTGGTTTCTGAATTATTTTAATTTGTTTTTTCTTTTGTGTTGATTGAGATAATTAGGTTCGTGGAGTCATACAATGCATGGTTTAATCTTCCATGAACGAAAATAACTGTTAAAAAGTTTCTTGGCCGTGCTAATGCTTAAAGAAAACAACCCAAGCACTGATCGCTCTAGGCGCCTTATCCTAACGCTATTGCAACTTAAAAAAAGCTAATGTTATTTTTCGAACCGACTAAAGTAATCTGTTTCCGACTCCAACTAAACAAAAACCTACAACAAAATTATAAAACACCCCCGCTTTTCGTTCTTAATAACTTCATCGGTAGATGAAAATGATCACCTAAATCAATCACTTGAAATTAAAATACTAATAACCAGTACTAATAGCAACAATCGTCCGCCCGCAGCTCAGCCAACGCCAAAAAGTGGGAGGTGGAACTAGCTACATTGAAGAGTAACAACCTTCGACTGACTGCTGCGCTGCAGGAGAGCACCGCCAACGTGGACGAGTGGAAGCGACAGCTGCACCAGTATCGGGAGGAGGTGGCACGCGCTAGACACTACGCTGGTAAAGGTAGGCGTGACTGTTGATGGAATGTCTGATTGTGCATGTGCAGTTTTAGCATTATCATATCTTTATGGGGATAGTTCGGTAAACGGGGAGATGGTTCAATTCAAATAGGCACTTTTGACTTCAAACATAGTTAAAAATTTTCAGTTTGTCAGAATAAAAGACCTCTACTTAAGTTATTTGATCGTTCCAAAGAGAAGATTCCTATGGAAAAGAACTTTTTCAGTCAGTTTCTCAATTCAATTCTTTCGCACATTCTTTGACATCATTAAGTCGGTTCCATTAAAATAAAAATAAAAATAAAATAAAAATAGCCTTTATTCAACCACAAAAACATGCTCACAACATTACAATTGTATTCTAATCAGTATTTATTTCATTTGTTTAATTTCATATATTTATCTATATATATAATTTTCATTTAATTATTTATTAATTTTAAATATTATCTCTAAAATAGGCAACTAATCTTTTGTGGATGTCGCCTCTTTGGCGTAGGCCTCCCCCAGCTTCCTCCATTCGTCTCTATCTCGTGCTTTCCTTCTCCAGTCTGGACCTACTCTCTCTCTGAATATATCTTCCCATCGCTTTCTCGGTCTACCTCTTCCTCTTTGTGTTCCCCTTGGTGTCCATTCTGTTAACTTCACAGTCCATCTGTTGTCTGCCATTCTACATACGTGACCTGCCCATGTCCATTTGATAGTTCTTATCTTTTGAAGTATGTCGGTTACTTGCGTTATTTTCCTTACTGTTTCATTTTTAATTTTGTCTGATATTTTGATACCCAACATACTTCTCTCCATTTTCCTTTGATGTATGGCTAATTTATGTTCATCTTTTTTGCGCAGTGACCATGTTTGACAACCGTATGTAAGGCAGGGCAGTATAACTATGTCGTGCAGCTTACTCTTAATTTTTATGTCAATGTCTTTGTTTTTCATTATTTCCTTTAACATCCAATGTTTTTTCCAAGCTATTGCAATTCGTCTATTTATTTCTTTTTCGGTATGATCATTGAATGAAATAGATTGGCCTAGGTAAATATACTCTGACACGTACTCAATGGCTTCTCCGTGTACCTTAACAACTTCGTTTTTTCCATTTGTAATTATTTTTGTTTTTGAAGTATTCAGCGACAACCCAACCTTTTTACTTTCTCTCGCCAGATCGTTAATCATTTTTTCTAACTGTATACTATTTTCTGAAAATATTGCAATATCGTCCGCGAACCTCAAGTGATTTAAATATTCTCCGTCTATTTTTATTCCTAGTCTTTCCCAATTAATATTTCTAAACACTGTCTCCAAAACCGCAGAAAATATTTTGGGAGAGAGTGGGTCACCCTGTCTAACTCCTTTCTTTATTGGAAATTCTTCTCCATCCCTCTCTAGTCGTATTTTAGATGAACTATGTGAGTAGATACTGTATAAAAGCTCTATGTATTCGATGTCTACGTTTTGCTCTACCAGTGCTTTCCAGATCGCGCCATACTCCAAGGAATCAAAAGCTTTGGCAAAGTCTATAAAGCAGATATACACAGTCCTTCCATATTCGTTGCTTTTTTCTATAAGTTGTGTAACTACGTGGATGTGATCGATCGTCGAGAATTTCTTTCTGAATCCTGCTTGTTCACGCGGTTGGTTCTCGTCTAGTATTTTAGCGATTCTGCTCAGCATCACCTTCGAAAAGACTTTATAGACATTGCTCATGAGACTGATCGGCCTGTAGTTGTTCAAGTTAGCTCTATCTCCTTTCTTATGTAGTAATGTTGTTGTAGATCTGGACCACTGAATTGGAGTCTTTCTTTTTTCGAGTACATTGTTAAACATCGTTTGTATGGGTCTCAGTAGAGGTTTACATAGAGACTTTAAAAGTTCATTTGTTATTCTATCATCTCCGGGCGATTTGTTATTTTTTTGTGTCTTAATTGCATACTCTATTTCTGAAAGAAGTATTGGAGGTACTTTTTCGTAGTCATTCATCTTTTCTTGTATAAATTCATGAATTTCAGTTGTTAATTGACTTGAATACAGTTCCTCGTAGTATTGTGTAGCTTCTTTTATTATGTCCAGTCTTTTAATTTTACTATTACCAGCTTTATCTGTTATATTTGGTGTCCACTTGGAAGATCTTTGTAGCTCTATGTATGCTTTTTTCACCGCTCCTGTTGTTTTCATGTATTTTTCAAAAGTAAGTCTTCTATGCTCTTTTGTGTTATTTGAAATTTCTCTATTAATTTGTTTACTTATTTGGGTTATTTGGTTTCTTATTTCTCTAGTTGTTCTTTCTTGGTATAATTTCCTTCTTTCTTGTAGTAGTTTCTTTATATAAGAGTTTCTATAGTCATACATGTTTTTTCTAGTATTAGGTATTTGGTTAAATAAATTGGTCATTTCCTTTTCAAAATTGTTATATTGACTTTGTATGTCGTATGATCTCTCTACTGCTTGCTTGAACTTTTCTTCCCATTGTCTTCCACTCTCTCTCGTTAAAGTTGGTAGGTCTCTAGTGTAGTTTCTTGTCGAATTAATGAATTTCCTTTTTCTTCTCATTTCTATATGTAAAGTACAGCGAATCATTCTATGATCCGTGTAGAAATTTAGATTTTGTATAATATTGAAATTTTGTACATTTAAATCGTGATCTATGAGGATATAATCAATTTCGTTGCGGTATAGAGCGTTTGGGGATTTCCATGTCCATTTTCTGCTTGCTCTGATCTTATACATACTATTTGCAAATTTCAAGTTCCTTTCCATGGCAAAATCTACCAGTCTTTGACCATGTTTTGACCTCCTGCCGTTTGAGTACATTCCAAATGCTCGTTCTTCCCCTTGTTGTGATTTTCCTATCTGAGCGTTAAAATCGCCCATAATTATAAATTTAGTTGTGTTTGCTGTTTCTATAGCTGTTTCCAGTGTACTGTAAAATAGATCGAGTTCAGTGTCTTTACATTTTTCGGTAGGAGCATACACTTGGATGAAGGTGAACACTTTGTTACTTGGTAAGTTAATTTCTAATGTTGCGACTCTTTCAGAATAGCTTTTGAAGGAATTAATGTTTTTTTTTAAGTATTTTTTTACTATAAATCCGACTCCATTTTGACCTTGTAAACTTTTTGTGTGGTATAATATGTAATCTGAGTATTCTTCTATTTCTTCTGTTTTCCTTCTAGTTTCACATAATCCAATTATATCCCACTTTAGATTTTGTATAGCATAGTCTAGTTCAACAATTCTTGAGTCCGACATTAATGTTCTTACGTTTAGAGTTGAGACGTATAATGTTTGTGATATATTTTTTCCTTTTTTGGTTCCATTTGGGGGGCTGTAGTCTACATCCTCAACCGAAGTTCCGGTGACTAGCCGGCCTAGAGGAAGCTGTGAGGGGGGTGCTAATTGTTAATCGGATTTATCTTCTGTAATATTAGTAGTAGGCCGCTGCATGTAGGAGGATATATCGTATGTTTTGTTTTTCTTTCGATTTTGGTACATTTTGCTTCTGTCTTTATTGTTTTCCTTATGTAGGTCTGCATTTACTGGTGACTCTGATAAATTTCTTTTCTGTGTTCGGTTCTGTTTGGCTTCTCTTTCCATAGATATTATTTTGTCGTAACGTAAAACGACTTGTTCTCCTAGATCTCGTCTTTTCTTCAGCTCTTCTTGTAAATCTTTCCGTTTCTGCACGACGCTCTTTGAATAGTCCGGCTTTACGTATAGGTTGTTTTCTTTTAAAGTCTTGTTTTTCTTCAGGATATTAATTTTTTTACCTACTGTCGTTAGTGTGACGATAACCGGCCGAGTCTTCTCTCCTTTTGGGCCAAGTCTTCAGTTCATTCTTCATCTTCTTCGGTTCCATTAACAGTATATAATTAAAAATTTGCCAATGAATCGAGAAACAAAATAGCTAAGTATCTGCGCCGACAACGGACGTACCACCAGAGAATTTATAAGTTCTTTGCCCGTCTTTTAAAGGCTGTTTAGGATCTTTGTAAAAAGATTAGAATGGGTAAGGATTAGGTCTTCAATAAGCGCATGAAATATAGCGCGATATGTTTTAAATTGTTGTTTATGTTATATAAAGATACTTGTGTCTAGGAATGTAACTCACGGGAAGTATGGGGTTGGTGTAATCTTCTGTAGTGTATTCTTCTCTACTGTCATCTCACAGCAAATTAACATAAAAACCCATATCATTGCAGGTGCGGAAGCTAACGAAGTGGAACAGCTTCGCCAGCGTGTCGCCCAACTTGAAGCAGAACTGGCGCAGAAGAACGAGGAGTTAGCTCAGATCACCAAATCCAAGAAGAGTGAACAGGTTGGTTATAGCGCTTTCAATTATGATTATTACTATGGCTCGGCTGTTTGATAATGCTAATGTAGATAGAAGAGACGAGATAATTGTACGATTTATAAAAAATAACAAATTTAAAGTCACGCAGTTTTTCTTCTTTTGGATAATTTACTTCTTTTACATTTATTGTCGTACTGAACGGTTGGCGGATTACGTGTCTCGTGGCGTAGATTTCCTCACGGGATAACGCGTTGTTTTATTCTGAATATTTTTTGCTATTAGGGTGATGTGCATTTAAAATTGAATGTTTGTTAACGCATCCACGACACAAAAGTAAATCCAGAGGAATGAAGAGGGGTGTAGCTATAAAAGGTGTATAGCTCCATCCCTCTTTCTCGCCCGAAAGATTCACGCTTCAACGCGTCATGGTAGGCCTACTGCTATGGGTCAACATAATAATAATAACATATGGGTTAAAACGACATAAAAAAATCACGCAGTTTTGACCTTATGACGTTGGCTTGACTCTTTAGCTAACTTATTCTTGGCTTATTTCAATTCCAATCAATCATCTTTCTTTATTCTTATTGCAATAATGTAGCATACCTTTTTAGTGCTTGGGTTCTTGTCAACATTTGTTGTTAAATCTGTCAGTTTGTTGAGTGAAAGTGATGTTCCTACATTTGACTTTGAAATTGGAACACATCTAACCAAATTTAAATGTAGAATTATTCACATTTCAATCTTTTTTGTAGTTAAAATACGGTTGCAATTTCAATAAGGTTTATAATTATGTCGTCTCCATGTTTTTTTTTGTAGTTTAATGAAATGGAGTAGCTAACAAAATGGAATACTTACTTATATTTAATTGAAACGAATAGAAATATCTGAAAATATTTTTTAGAAGAAAATTATGTGTATAAAATGTAGATTGTGTTATAGTGTAACAAGTATTGAAAATTATGACTTTCTAACGTGATTTCACTGAGAAATGCTCTCCTAGTTTCAATTCACAACGAGACTCTTATTCATGATCTGCACGCCGTCACATACATTTCATGAGTCGGCTGTTTTTTTTATTCAATTCAATTCAATTTATTTCAGATAATAAAAATTCATAAAATTACATTACATAGATTACATTAAATATAAGTGAGTGAAGTTTTTATGTAATAGGTCGGCAAACGAGCAGACGGATTTCCTGATAGTAAGCAATCAGTGTTGCCCATGGACACTAGACACATGGACATAGTTATGAGTGCGTTGCCGAGGAATTAGGGATTTGGATATTTAGGGACTGGGGAGGGATTGGGGAAGGGGAAGGATTGGGCCTCCAGTAACATCACTCACATGGCGAAACACAATGCTGTGATTGTTTCACGGGTTTCTGTGAGGATGAGATTTCGCACCGGTCGAGCCGACCCATTCGCGCCGAAGCATGGCTCTCTCACAATTAAACTGGCTGTGACTTGAAACTAATAGAAACTAGTAGAAACTAGTACTTATTGAAACTAGTAGAGCTTTTCTGTGTTAATTTTCGTAATAAAGTCGTTCTTTTCAATTATTGTTTTTATTAAATTATTAGCGTATTCCATTTGCTACTTACTCCGTGTCTCGTAGTGTTGAGAAAAGCATGTTTCTGACATATTATCGATGTGATTTTGATGACAATGATAAATTAATATTATTATCTGAAATTAAACTGTTTTGATAGATCGTCATCTGAATCACTTTATAAGAATGATTTGTGGCTACATTTCTGTTTTTATAATAACATTTTATAATTAATGTTAAATTGGCTATTTTTTGATATGTTAGTACATATTGTTTAAGATGCATGATTGTATTTAGGTGTGTGTATGTATTGTAAATAAAATTGTATTATATTGTACTATTTTTCTTACTAATACTGTTATTTTATGCGCTTTTACTAACAAATAAATTATTTCTTTGTACTTTCCTTTTCTTTTATTTTCTGTCCCTTTTTCTAATCTGTTTTGTTTCGTTCTGATAATGTTTTCAATCGTCTTCCTGATTTAGACTTGTGTCAATATTGTTTTTTGCATTATAATGAAAGTAGAAAAAAGGAGTTTGAAGTTCGCTAAGTAATACAGTATATTATTATTAATTTAAGGTGGGTATTATATATGAAAGAATAATGTTTACATTAATTAAAAATCAATGCTTTCTTTTTTCATATATTTTTCTTTTTATACTGAAATGCTAAATAATTTATCTACTTCCGTCTATTTTTAAGTAGTTCCGACATATTTAACCTTTTTTTTTTTGAAACTCAATGCGAAAAAGATATACATTTCTTTTATTAAATAAATTACTAATGTTGAGACTATCAAGTCAGTAGTACTTGTTATAACCTTTACATACTTCTTGTATGTTTCAATTTATTTACCCATACTGTTGTGTTTTAGTAAAGCTATAAATAATAATTTACTATATAATATATTGTTATCAAACGAATTTGAACCTAATTCTTCAGGACGCAGAAGCTAAACTCGCTCAGAGCCAACTGGAGCTGGCACTAGCTGCGCAGGACGGACAACGACAGGTCATACAGGCACTTAACGATCAACTGGCGCGGCAACTTGATGAACTGGTAAGTTAGTGAAACTTGAAATTGTACCTTAAAGTTGTAAGACCAAAAGTTGATATTTGAAAATAATCGTTAAAGTTTTCATGTTATTTGAAATTGAGTTTTAATATTGTAAAGATAAAGCGTACATTTGCTTGTGACAAAGGTGCATTTGCTTGTATTAAGATACGTATTATTTCAATCAAACTATATTGTTCAGGCTAATTATGCCTAACGTCTCTCTGAGTGACGTTACCGGAGGGCCAATCCTTCCCATCCCTCGATCCCTCACAATCCCTAAATCTCCAAACAATCCACTTTTGTGCCCTATACTAATATATACTGTAATTTTTGTACACGCACCAACTGTTGGTGCACAATAAAGATTATTTATTATTATTATTCTACATAAAATCCATCTTAACCTACCAGAGCACAATCCACCGCGAGATCAACTCTGCGTTGCACACATGAGACGCGGCCGCGCTGGCTGCCCCCGCACCGCCGCAGTACGCCGTCCCGCATCGGGACAACCGGGAACCTCGCGAACCCCGCGACTCACGCGATTCACGCGAACCTCGCGAGTCCCGCGAAAACCGTGAACCCCGTGAGTCCCGCGAGTCCCGCGATCGTCGCCTACCGCTACTGCTGCGTGCGCCGGAACCAGCCTATGTGACGGTGAAGACCAAGAAATGAAGAGTGCTCTCGGTATTTCGCAAGGTGCACGAGTTTTTTTAAGTTTTCCTTTTAATTAGAAATGGGGAGAGTCGGTTGATTTTTTTTAGTTCTGATTGTTGTTTCGGCGTCAATGTGGCGGTCTTTACTTTCGTTTTTGGGAGATTTTGTCGGAGATGAGATAAGCATCTCCAGTTTGAAATAATTCCCATGGATAACGATGTTATGATAATCGAATGTTATAAGTGTTTCCACACATTGATGCCATGTTTGGTATTTTCTGTTTATTTTATCTGCTTCCTTGTTTGGGTTTAAAATACTATGGAATATGTATAGCACTTTAGAGTATAATTGTTCTCTAAATGCCCTTGATTTTTCAACCTTTTTTGTATAAATTAGAAAAAATGCCAATGAATTGGTTCTTATTTCAAATGTTGAAAAGCAATATGATTGCGATACAATATTTTTTTAAACAAATGGTGCGTACAACCGACCCTCCCTTCGTGGTTAGCTCATCGATAATTTTATTTAATGTTAGGGCACATCACTATTATTCGTTTCACCGGTACCAAGTGTCATTGATCTTGTCATTCTCTCGATACGGTGTCATTACGGCGTCAATCTCTTAACTATTTAGATGTCATTAGAAAAAGAATAATTAATTTTTAATTTTAATTGACGGCTTATTCATGTATCTTATTAACACTGTGTTATGATTATGAGCTCCAGACGAGACTTGAAACTTGTCGAGTTAGCTCGTCAAACATTTACGTGAATAAGCCATTAAATATAATTTAATATGTCTCCTGAGAGTTTTAGTAGAGAAAAATGTTTATTATTGATATGCCACAGTATTTCCAAATCAACTTCAAATTAAGAGGTTTGAATAATAACTCGTTTTGTCAGTGAGTTTGATAGTCCCAGTGGGCATAAAAGTCTTTACTTAAAACTGCTTACTGGATAATCATTCGTCCTTGGTCAATAAAATACATGTTGAGACCTCACTGTTTATAAGTATTTCTTAAGGATAAATAATGGAAACACCTTCCTCTTTATATGCTATACAGTATTATTAGATCTCATAACACTGTGGCATCAAACTCACTATCACATCTCGCGCCATTTTTCATTTAATTAAATTGACAATTTCTTCTCTCGATCTCATCGATTACGAATGTAAGTTTAATCGATATGAATAGTGTCTTTTTAAGTCTATTATATCGAAACGTTTACATCGATATTAGAGCTATGTTCGTACTATAATCCGAATTGAAGATCATTCATTCGTCACAGGAAAATCAACCTTCTGTCATATAAGTAACACCATCTATAAAAATTAATGATAATAAAGATGATTTTCGCTTGAAGAAACTTGTTTGACAAAGTTTTGGGGCTGTGAAAGGTAAAGTGGTTTTCGTACGGCGTTTTGAACCGTATAGGTAGCGATGTATGAAATTGAATGGAGTTTATATTGATGGTGGAATCTTTGGAAGTCGTGTCACGGTTTGAAGGCGACGTCTTGAAGATTTTCGTATAAATGTCGAGTTGAAATTGTTTGAAAGTAATTCAACTTGTTTCTCGTCCTAGAACATTTGGTATTTACTCACCTGCGAAATGGAATTATTAACGTGTATCCAAAAACTGTTTTGATGAGGAAACTCTATATTAAAGTCTTTTTGCAATAGTAGATAATATTGTGAGATTTCTTTTAATTTATTGTTAATAACGACTTACTCATGTCAATAACTTCTTGGTTGGCGTTGACTGCGTGACGTCACCGCGATGCTCACGTTGCTCATGAATTTTCTCAGTTCATTCATGTTAGTAAGTCGATATTTTCAATACATTAAAGTCTTGTTATACACCGAAAAAAGCATTTATCATTAAGTATCACTCGTTCTTTGTACACATTTCCTTTTGCCTTTTTATATATAGTCCATTTTGAAAAACTTTTTTCTTTATAATAATATATTCATGTACAGATTGGCAAGTGTTTATCGTAATAATTCCGTTGTGAAGACTTAAAGTAGTGACTCCGATTATACTGCCAAATATACAAGTAGACACCAAAATTCTACGCCAAACATATTAGTGTGAAAGCGACAAGATTTGTACCGATCCGGTGCTTAAAATACTATGTTAACTATTTAATAATATCTACTTTATTTTCACGAAATATTTAATAAATTGTTTATAAAGATGAAATAATTATTGGAGTGGCAACACTGCAACGCTCATTGACACAAGCAAACGTCAAATTATTTGACAGCGTTACCCAGTCACTCCATTTTTTAAGTTATCCGTGTTTTCCCGTCTCTTAGATTTAATGTAATTACATTCAAAATAATTTTATGTCTCTGAAAAATGTTTATTGATAGTCAATTCGAGTCAGTGATGTCGACCCACCCCTATCTAATGTAAATACGTTCGATAATCGTGTGACCCCACGATTCAATGCCAAAAAATAACTAATTTTTATTATTAAAATTAATGTATATTTTAAATGTAGATTTTTAAATATTGTATTATTGTGTAAGAGAAAATAAAAACTGGTTGCCCGGTGAAATACCGAATTTAAAATTTAAACTAAATGATTCTTGGTTTCGACAATCGCCTGATGATGTTACGATGAAGTGACAGGCCGTGCCATGTCTGTGTGTGTATATTGAAATATTCCCTAATTAATAATAATATTAAATTAAATACTGTCGGCTAATACAACGCCTCATCGGTCCCAACCTAATACGGGTGGGATTTTAAAAAACAATATTAAAAAAAGCTTCGATTAAAATAAAAAAATGTTTTTTGAAAGCGTTAAATTTAAAAGAATATTACGTAGTGTGTAAGTATGTATGTATTTTACCGCCGTGTTTATGTATTGTAAGCAGTATCGATATGTTTTCGTTTGATTTGTGAACCAATTTATTTGGTGTACTGTGCATTTGTTTTTCTCGAATACATTCTCCAATATTGTAATGCGTTAAGTAAGGTATGGTATTTTTGGTATGTCTTGAGTGAAGGGACGCGCTAAGTGACGAAAATGGTCGACAATCAAGGCCCCTAATCCTTTTTCCCTTTCCCAAACCACCCCCGAAAAGACCAGTAACGCAATCCTCTGATGTTACGGGTGTCCATGGGCGGCACTAATTGCTTACCATCACATATAAATTTTTTTTCTAGATTCTCGGTTTTATGCTTGCCTAGACACGTACCGATCATTTTGTGAAAATTTCCTTAATTTTTATAATAGTCGGTATTGGATGAGATACATGTACATTTCCAATTCTTGGATTTTTCAAATACTAGATGTACAGAACGATAAAGGCATACCAGCCTCCATTCAGATTGCTTTGTGTGAAAAATATGTAAAATAAATACACTAAGGTCATACAAATACACGCATCTAAATTCAATAGGCAATTTTTAACATAGTGTAAAAAGTGGAAATTTTATCGATATCGATACGATGTATCGTGTGCACTTCACTCAAGACATAAATTAACATAAAAATATTCCTATCGTACGTTTAGACTTATGAAACATTTCCGTTTAACTTTCCTACTGTGTAGGTGTATTCTATTAATAAATAAACTAATTATTAAATACTAATTAATAAATCGTAACGTAAAATTCCAATCTCGATGATTTTTTAATTAAAAAATATTAAATATTCATCCCTAGTGTAAGGTGTTTGTGAGACGCGCAAAATTATCGACACAGTTTTTGATTTAAACAGAGATTAGTGTGATAACATACAGATTTATTAAAAAACTAGCTTTTGCCCGCGATTCCGTTCGCGTGGAATAGTGACTTTTGCAGATTTTTGGTATAAATACTATCCTATGTCCTTGCCAAATTTCACAGAAAACGTTTCAGTAGTTTAGGCGTGAAGAAAAGACAGACAGAGTTACTTTCGCATTTGTAATATTTGTAAAGATGCCAATCCTTACAGTTACACATATGACAAAATAAATCTATGTTCGTTAAAAAGATAATTTTGCGCTGAAAGTTTAATATGTATGAAAAGGTAAAAGATAAAAAATCGACTCCGGTCCGTCTAACTCCCAAATGTTGACGTAGAATTTAATTTCAACTTTATTTCCTTTACATTTCGTTTGATATTGGTTTAAAGCCCTGTAATACATAGATCCCTTAGCAAATTAGTGATTACACTTCGACGGGTAATGTCGTCTGCAACGCTTAAAAAGTTAAAAAAAAAAAGTATTTTTGTTAGACTGTTATTAGAATGTTAATTTTATTTATTAGTTCACCTTTGTGTTCAATTTTTATTTAATTTAAATAGTATTTGAAGAATATTTGTTATAAAGTCGCGTTGTAGACGACAATTACAAGTCGGGATCAATAAAAAAAAAAATTGGTAACAAAATGATATCATTATAAAGGCTGAGGACACATTTTTTAAAATATACAATGTCTTCGAACAGGGTAACTTTGATTTACTGTTGTGTGGAACTTTTTAAATAGTAATGAAACGTTGTTATTCGATTTTTATCGTCTACCACAACATGTTACACGATCGAATTCCGTAGCTCTTTTCACTAAACTGCGTCGCAAGCTGTGACGTCACGCCCTAGTAAATAAAAAACGAACAATTATACTCTTCAAACCTTTTCGTTGACAAGAGAAAAAAACAACACCCTTTTTTATATAAATAATGTATGTGAACAACTTTTATGTTTTTCGTAGTTAAATAAATACATAGTTATAGTAGATAATAATGTTTATAGACACGATGTATTTATTTGTACATGTAAAAATTGAAAAAAAAATCTGTTTATCAATAATATAGGTGAATTTAGTAGAACCGAATGATCTGTTGGGCTATAAGAGTGTAAAATAAAAAATAGATAATGTTTAAGTGTTAATCCCGTTTTATTTGTAAACCGAAGATGTTAAGTGTGATCACATTTATAATATAGATAGTTATATATGTACTATATCATAGACGTTACAATAGATGAGATTATAATTTAAAAGAAAAAATGTATCTTGACTGGGAG